TTAGATTTATTAAAGTAACGTTTTTTATCTCGGTATAATATTGAAGAGAGCGAGAGAGGGGATGCAGCGGTTGTTCTTTCTCTTGCAAACGATGCGGATTTTTTCGCGCGTTGAGGAAGTGTTAGGCGCGACGCATTTATAAAAGTTTGTGGTTTTGTATCCGGAGAAACTCGCGGATGCTTTACCCGAGGATTTTGGTCTCATTAAGATTTATTAAAGTAACGTTTTTTATCTCGGTATAATATTGTAGAGAGCGAGAGAGAGGGGATGCAGTGGTAGTTCTCTCTCTTGCAAACGATGTTTCTCGCGCACGTTGAGGAAGTGTTTTGAAGAGGGGTGGTATAATATTGTAGAGAGCGAGAGAGAGAGGCGATGCATTGCAGCGGTTGTTCTTTCTCTCTCTTGCAAAAGATGCGGACAGAGAGATGTATTTTTCCACCTTGCAACGGTTTGTTGCCGCATCCTTTCCATGATTAGTGATTTTTGGAAGTCTCCTTATCCCCGGTTTTTTCTTTGTAGTAACGATGTGGACAGAGAGAGATGTTTTTTTCTCTCTTTTACTGTTTTTTGCATATTTGTTTTTCCCTCTGCAGCGAACATTTTATTCGCTACTGAGTTGGGGAATTGATATGGAAGTTGGTTCGTTGAACGTGCCATTGTTGCAATCGTACGCAACGTCTAAGAAGTTTGTGGTTTTGTATCCGGAGAAACTCGCGGATGCTTTACTCGGAGAATTTTGGTCTCATTAAGATTTATTAAAGTAAGGTCTTTTTGCAGCAGTTTCTCTCTCTTGCAACGATATGGATGGAGAAAGATGTATTTTTTCTGCTTTATCGTTTTTTGGAGAGAGAGAGAGAAAGAGATGCATTATAACGATGTGAGAGAAGTTCATGCGTGCATGTTAATAAATAGACGAAGCATAATGCGGAGCAAATCAAATCGTTGTCATAAAAAAAGAAGTGAACGTGAACCCCCAGTGAGAGTGAAAAAACATAAAAGCTTTTATTAAAAATATTGCATCATGTCGCAAATTGATTTCATTATTGATATGGACGGTTTCAATGTAAACAAAAAATTTGTATGCAAAGAATTGGCGATTGTGAATGTGCACACAGGCTTCGCATCTCTGTATGAATTTGAACTAGTCGTCCAATACAGCGAGTTGATAAAGTCTGATAAAAAGTCTGCATGGTACGTCTCGAATTTTATATACATGGGATTCCTTACAAAAATTTTTCCAGGCAAAAAAATTACAAGCAAAAAGACATTTGGTTACTAATTAAACTTTTTATTCGCGGCTACAAGGATCCCATAATCGCGTATGAAGGGGGTCATGTAGAAAGGAATTTATTACGCGAAATTGGCGTTCACCATGTAAATTTAGAAACTTTGCCCTAAATTTGAATTATTAATCGCGGACCCGAAATATGGGTCAATAGACCCGCCATGCAGGCTTCATTGTTGGACGCCTAGTTCAACATCGAAGCGGAGGGTACAGCAGTACCACTGTGCCCTCAGCGAGGTGCGAATCTTCCGCAAGTGGTACCTGGGAGGTAATTTTTTTTTTACAATTATTTTTCATTTCTATGGTGCCTTTTTTGCAGAAAGAGAGAAAACGTAAGCCTGTGTGCACTCAGCGAGGTGCGAATTTTCCGCAAGTGGTACCTCGAAGGTAATATTTTTTTTACAATTATTTTTCATTTCTATGGTGCCTTTTTTGCAGAAAGAGAGAAAACGTAAGCCTGTGCGCACTCAACGAGGTGCGAATCTTCTGCAAGTGGTACCTCGAAGGTAATATTTTTTTTTCTTTTTACAATTATTTTTTATTTCTATGGTGCCTTTTTTGCAGAAAAAGAGAAAACGTAAGCCTGTGCGCACTCAGCGAGGTGCGAATCTTCTGCAAGTGGTACTTCGAAGGTAATATTTTTTTTTCTTTTTACAATTATTTTTTATTTCTATGATGCCTTTTTGCAGAAAGAGAGAAAACGTAAGCCTGTGTGTCCGTCGGAACATCGTTTTTGGTCGAGGTTATGTCCATATGTCCTCGGGAGAAAATTGTGGCAACGTGCCGATCGGTGCTGATACGATGGATGAGAAGAGGTGTGTATAATAATTGTTATTTAAAAAATTAAAATTTATTTTTTAATAATGATTTTTTTTAAATTAAGAGCGTCATCCTGAAGAGGAGGAGGAGAAGGAGGAGGAGGCTTGCGATTGCCATCAACGGTTCAGTATCACTGTGCCCTCAGCGAGGTGCGCGTCTTTCAGAAGTGGTTCATGGAAGGCAACGTATTTTTTTCCTTTTTTTAGTTACTATTATTTTTTCATTTCTATGGTGCCTTTTTGCAGAAAGGGAGGAGAAAAACGTAATGATGGGCTCCGAAGCTTTGAATTTTGGCCAATTGAATTTATCCAGCCGGAAGGAGCTTGCGGCCGCAGGATTTTATTATCTGGGGCAGGACGATTTTGTAGCATGTTTTGCATGCGGCATCAAACTGCATCGGTGGCAGTATAACGACAAGCCTATGTCGGAACATCGTTTTTGGTCGAGGTTATGTCCATATGTCCTCGG